TATCTATCTATCTATCTATCTATCTATCTATCTATCTATCTATCTATCTATCTATCTATCTATCTATCTATCTCTATTAAAATTTTGAAGCCTGACTTTATTTCCTGTTACTGCTTTTAAGTTGCCTTTGATAAGATTTCTTAGGAGGTATTTTTCTTTAAAGGCAACTCAGAGATCTTTAAAGAGGAACATAAAATATTGTTATGCATTTCCTAGTGCAGTGCAGCACTGGTGGAGAGTCTTGCCAGCATAGTTGTATTGGTAATGGTAATGTATCATCCAATAACGATAGCACTATGTTATGATGCTTAGTTTTCTAAGATAATGAACTTTTTTCTGTACCTTATTGCCTCATTATTGTTTGACAATCTACTTTTCCTTTGCAGACATTGTTATTCAACTATATATTTTGACTCAGACTTAATAACAAATATCTGTTGTTCCATATAGCATAGTAAATATTTCTATATGTTTTTCAACTTAATGTGTTTTTTCACTCTCATCTAGGCTCTTGATGATGATATTCCAGAAGAAAAGCAACACTATCAGTTTCAGCTGACTGGTATTAGCAATGGTGGAATCATAAATGAGGCAGCCAAAGCAGCAAATATCACAATGGCTGCTAGCGACTTACCATATGGACAATTCACATTTCCTCAAGAAGTAATGCAGACAACAGAAGAAGAAAAATGGGTAGGAATTGTGTTTACCAGATAAGTTTCTGAGATATAACTTTCATATTATATATTGGGATGAGGATTCTTATATAACTTGTTGAAAAATACACTACAAGATAATAAGTTGCTTAGCACACCATCTAGTGTTCAAAACTGTCCTAATTACTCAACTTATTTTCAGACTCCAATTTCACCAAAAGTTATTGATGTTGGAATTAAATTTATGAAAATTGAAATCATTCCTTATTTGGAATCAATTTCAAATCACTGCATAATATGAATACATAAAATATGTACTATGATATCATTTGCATATTTGCAATGTGCATTTGTTCTATTGGCTGAAGGTAATCAATGTTTATAACACACTATGTGAGTTTTACTATGGATCAAAGAACAATAAACTGCAATAGTCCAAATGGTAAGGTTTTCTATTCTACTAGAAAATGGATATCATAATTAAATCATGTTAGTAGAATTCAATAACATGGATTTTTAAATGCTTTTCCTGAAGGGGCTTGGACTAGAAGCCTTGTAGTCCCTTCTAACTCTAGAATTCTTTGATTCTGTGCTTACCTTTAGAGAAGTCATGAAGATGCATTTCACCTTAGAACACAATTGTCTCCAACAGGCTAACATCACAGTTGTCCGTTCTCATGGATTTTACAAGCAAGTTCGCCTTTTGTATAAGACATTGAATGGTACTGCAGTGGAAAGCTCAGACTTTGGTGTGACTTCAAGAGAGCTTATTTTCAAACCCACTGAAACTGTTAAAACTGTTTATGTTGAAGTGTATGATGATGATCTTCCAGAAGGTCCTGAGGATTTTTCAGTAGTAATTACAAAAGTAGAATTACTGGGAAGGTAAAAAATAAAAGCCATCTTATAGAAAAATACTGACCAGAGTCATTAAATATAAAATACTGTGTAGCAAATCTTGGTATCTTAGTTGATTTTGTGATCAAGATCTAAAGTAAAATTGAATTTAATATGGCTGTTTATCTTATAGTTCCCTTGCAAAGCAGAAGCGTAAAAACCAGGTTCATTCTAGTAGTAATAACTTGTAATTTGGTGTTATTACTGAGTCAGTTACAGGTACTCCTCAGGTTATGATGGTAATGGGGACCAGAATTTCCATCACTAAGTGATGTCATAAAATGTGAAATCATGTGAACACATCGCTTAGTGACACCAATCCCAGTAGTCCCATTGCCATTGTAACCACGGCTATGTGCATTAGTAGGAAGAAATGGGAGTTCCAGGCAAGCGGGTTGGCAGGTTAGAGATGCAGGTTAGAACTATATGAGAAGGGAAGTGCTGCAGATGAATGCTAGGGAATGGACATGTAGATGGGGCTGTGGGTAGGTAGTTGGGAGTGTAGCAGGGTTGGAGACTGTTATGAAGTGTAGATGTGCTGCAGATTAGGGTGGGTGCCACAGGTGGGTGAGGGAGTGCTATGAGCAAGCAGAGTCTGGCTGCAGCAGGGTGCAGTTATAAATGGGCTGGCCTAAATGTTGATCACATAACGGCTGGAACTTCAAGGAGCATTAAATTCATTTTTTCTGCCCGATCATAATGAGTAAACATAACTTGAAGACTATCTAATACAATGTAATAGGAGCATATAGGGACATGGGTATATTGCCTTATTTATTTATTATTTTTCTCTTCATATACTTTTGTAAGTGGATTTGATTTTACAATAAAAGAAAATGGATTGCAAATTGACCAGCCACCTGAGATAGGAAATGCTTCAATAATGAGAATCATTATATCAAAAAGTGACAATGCAGAAGGCATCATTGAATTTGATCCCTCTTACGCAAGTCTTGAAGGTATGGTAGTTCCTACTGCATTATTTCATTTATTTATTTTATTTTAAGACATTTCAGAATTCAGGAAGAAAAACAGTCTGCCCCTGGCAAAAATATAATAATCACTTTCTGTCTTTTCTTTTGTTTTAGTGGGCTTTTAAACAATAGCAACAACAATAACATTGGCTTTTCTTTATTTTCTTTTTTGTATTTGAATCTATGAACACAAATTGAATAAAACAAAAAAGTATGAAGTAAAGTTACAAACTGTAAAGAAAAAAAATAAAGTGAGAAAGGCATAGTGGATGGAAAACAAAATATCACTAAATAAGCAGAATTCATAATTTCCAGTGGAGGGGCTTCCAGTGAACATAGCCAATTGATCAATTTGGAATGCTCCTTCCAGAGCAAAGTACTTTCAATTTACACACAAGCAAACTCAGTTCCCTAAGTTTATATAACTCCTGGGCTAGGGAGAGTCCCTGAATCACCTCACAAGATCACCATTCCATACAGCAGTGGTTTGCAAGGAGATTCTGAAGCAGCGTTCTGAAGTAACTGGGTGAGCTGTCCATAGGCTGGGAGGTAGGGCTGCAATCACTTTGTTGTTGAAAAAACAATTCTCATAAAATATAATATTCCTTATTTTATCAATTAAATAATTGAGTATTTAAGATTTATTGATCATATAAAATCAGATTCATCATCTTGAGAAATAATTCTAAATCACTGCAGACCACTATTTATCATTATCTAAAATAAATGTGCTTGAACATTTAAAAAAAAATTACTAAAAAAAATTAACTAAAAAACTATTAAATTCTCAATTTCTTTCCATTGTACCTGGCAAGTGATTACATCAAATATGAATAAATATTCAAATTGTGTCTGGTTACTGTTTAAATCAAATATTGTCCCTTAGTAAACATATTACATTGCTGCTAAGTTGATTACCTAGTCTGTTATTGTAGGCAAAATGTTTCTTTTCTATAAAGTGAACCAAATTTATGCTTTCGGCAATCACTGTATATTTTAATAAAATTGTGATATATGTTATTTATTGTCCTGGAAAGATTTCTACTAGAAAAGAAACATTAAGTTTAAATTCAAGTTTTGTTGTTAAATGTTCTTGAATAATGTTTTCTAGTACTGTTGAATGTGTTTACATGACTACCAAGTGAAATAAAATGTTCTGTATCACATTTCCAACTTTTATTCTATATGCTTTATTTCTTTTCATACCAGTGCATTATAGAAGGATAATTGTCAGGCAGACAGTCAGGAACAAAGAGGGAAGGAGGGAGGGAAGGAAGGAAGGATTTCCAATGTCCCCTGCCAATTTCCCACGGGAAACTTGGTGGGGAGCCAGAATCAATAATATTAACCTGGTTTTGTGTGACTCTACATTTCCTGGCCAGTTTGGGCTTTTGTTATTTCTGCATTTTCCATTTTCTGAACTAATAGGTATATCACACGACTTCTGTCTTTCTTTACTATGGACCTTCCTGCAAATAAGGCAGTCCTTCTGAGCACAGAATCTGGCAAAGGAAGTAATAGGCCTAAATATACCCATGTAATATATGGGGGCAGGGGAAGCCTTCATATACAATACAAGAACATGAAATTTTTTGAATATACTTAAGCACATTGGCTTCCTATATGCTACACATATAAAACAAGCAGAAGTTATCAGTTTTCAAGGATAAATATAATTTCCACAATTATAATTGTATCCCAGTGATTATTTACAGACCCCTCACATCCTGGACATAATTTATTTCAACTTCAACCCTCAAAATGACACCAGAAAAGATACATTTGTCAAGAGTCAAGAATCATAAGGTACCATACTTAATGATAGTCATAGGTAAGCAATCAAATCATACTAGGAAACAAATAAAACAATATAAATTGTAAAGCTATAAGCAACACAGTTATAGTCATAAGTGGGAAGAGATAGGTACCAGGAAGTATTATTATAATCTAGTAGTAGAGGAATAATAGTAATACAGAACAACTAGAACAACTAGACACAAGGACAGTTTTTCCCCGAATGTCATCACTCTGCTAAACAACTAATTCCCACAACACTGTCAACTTATTTACTAAGACTGTATTACTATTATTCCTCTACTAGATTATAATAATACTTCCTGGTACCTATCTCTTCCCACTTATGACTATAACTGTGTTGCTTATAGCTTTACAATTTATATTGTTTTATTTGTTTCCTAGTATGATTTGATTGCTTATTAGTAACCTATGACTATCATTAAGTATGGTACCTTATGATTCTTGACTCTTGACAAATGTATCTTTTCTTTTATGTACACTGAGAGCATATGCACCAAAAACAAATTCCTTGTGTGTCCAATCACACTTGGCCAATAAAGACTTCTATTCTATTCTATTCTATTCTATTCTATTCTATTCTATTCTATTCTATTCTATTCTATTCTATTCTATTCTATTCTATCTGTAGAAAATTTTTAACACAGCTGAACATCTAATTTTGTGAACTTAAAGTAAATAATAGAGTATTTATATACAATTTATATAATCATGGCTTTTTATACAGCTATGATTTTGCACTCTTTTAAAACCAAACGTCCTGGCACTTAGAAGCTTACTTTAAAGTTTAGAAGTTTACTCCTGAGTAAAACCTTGTAATGCATCCTGGGTTTTGTTTTGTTTCAGTGGAAGAAGATGTTGGTTGGATAATGATTCCAGTATTTCGAAGGTTGGGGAGTTATGGTTTTGTGACAGCAGATTTCATATCTAGAAATATTTCAGCTCTTCCTGATGGGATTGATTATAGCATTGCAAATAATTCAGTCATTTTTCATCATGGCCAAATACAGAGTTTTATCAGCATTTTAATCATAAATGATGAAGAAAGGTAAAACTCTTTTTCTTGCTTTTCATTCACTAACAGATAATCAGATAATCAGAGATAATCAGAAGGGACCTTGTAGGTCATCTCGTCCAACCCCCCACCCAAGTGGGAGACCCTACACCATTTCTGACAAATTACAGTCCAACTACCCTAAAATTATTCAAAAATTGCATTTCACAGTCAATGGCATCCATAACCAAGTCAGCAAAACTTGATAGACACCATTGGTCACACAGTATTATGTATAAAGGCCGTGGTGGTGCTGTGGTTAGAATGCAGCACTGCTCTCTCCAGGAGTTCAATTCTGAACAACACAAGGTTACTCAGCCTTTCATTCTTCCGAGATCAGTAAAATAAGGACACAGATTGTTGGGGCAATATGCTGATTCTGTAAATTGCTTAGAGGGGACTATAAAGCACTATGAAGCAATATATAAGTCTAAGTGCTATTGCTATAAATACAGTTAATTGGAGTGTCCATAAAACTAGGTTGTTTTATTAGAAAATTACATTTAAATCGTATGGCACTTCATTACTTACCTTATTTTTCCAGGACAGGAAAAATAATGTAATTTAAAATGTTTAATGTTTAACAATTTCTACATATGTTTAACAATTGTTTAACAATTTCTACAATTTCTAAATGTTTAACAATTTCTAAATGTTTAACAATTTCTACATATTTTTTCTGCAAGAGTTAGTGGTGTTATTATCAATTACTTCTTTTTGTCCTCGTGTATAACTTTAAATACTCCGTGTATAAAAATAATTTTATGAATATGAGCTGTAAAATTACTATATGTTCATATTTCAATGATATATGAGGTAATGTAACTATGTTTGGTGACAAAGTATGTTTCATTCTTTGGTTTCTGATTAGTGAAAATGCTGAGCAGTTTGAAATCCAGCTAATAGGTGCCAGTGGGGGAGCGGTTCTGGGACTTTACCTCCTGACCCAAATAACTATTGCTAAGAGCGACTCTCCACATGGGATTGTCCGCTTCCTCAATGAAAGCCAAATCATTCTTCCCAACCCTAATGTCTCATTAACCCTGTCCTTGGTACTTGAAAGAACTGGAGAATTGATAGGAGAGTCTCAGGTATGTCTATTCTCTGTTTGTTTCCTTCTCTTAACTTCTCTGCCTTTAATTAATTAATTAGTGTTTATTTAATTTTTTTTTTTAAAAAACTTTGTTTTATTTTGGTAAGATTTTATACTTTTCACTTGTTTTCTAAAACATTACCCAATTATAGTTATAAACCAGCATTTGTTGATTTGGATAAGATTTAAGGCAAAAATTCCAGTTCAGTTACAGAAAGAAGTTGATTCTGCTGATCCTTGCTTACCTTTATATGGGTTCAAGGAGGTTCTCTACAACTTGTGATTCAGAATGGACCTCAAAATTGGAGGTTAAATTATTCTTAAATTTAACCTTCAATTTTATTATAACACATGTGTTATCCATGGTAAAGAAACGTGATATTTTTAATTTCTCAAACATTAAAGAAGCATGTTACTAATAAATAGACTGAAATAATGTGCTATATGTACTTAGAAAGGAAAGAAACGGAAGTAATTTCAATTTGAATTCCACTCTCCATCCAAGCTCTAAATTATTAGTTTTTTAAATATTTATTTATATCTCACATTTTTTATTTACTAAATCCACATGTTTATTTTAATGCTGCTTCCTTACATTGCTTAAATGTTGATAAATGTTGGAAATTTGTAATCTTACATTGGAGTAATCTTATAAAAAGATTTATGCATGAAGGAATTAACTATTTTAATTGATTTTGTATGTGTAGATAAACTGTTGAATTATTGTATTCTGATCGTTCTAGTTTATGATCAATGAATTCATTTGATTACTTTGTATTTTATTTATGTAGCTAGTTTCACTAAAGAGTACCAAGTCACAAATATAGATTTTTATGTAAACTCATGCTTTAGATAGGTCAACGTGTCTTGATTCTACCTGTAATATAGCCCACCCACTCATGCAGCAATTTTATAGGGGCCAGCAAAATTTCTTGACCTGAAAATGTTTTCCTGAAGTCTAATGTAGAGAAATGCAGTTTTAAATGAAATGCTTGTGGATTTCAGGCATGCTTAGTACTAACATATTTAAAATATCAGTTATTCTTAATTTTATGCCCCATTGCCAGATGGATAACGATTCTTGTTTTTATATGGAAGGGCCTTATATAACCTTATGGCTTGTAATGATTTACTTTGTAAAAGAGAATCTGTTCTTTCCCTCCTGACATCATGATTTTAACCAGAAAATTATTCTCTTCACTTTTATGAACGTTATTTTTTATTTTGCTGCTTCTCTTTTAAAAATTGCTGATTGGAAGATTTTCATAAAATTCTACATATATACATATATTGTGTTTCAGTTTTGCAAATATAGGTGGCACATTAATTAATTAATTAAAATATTAAAAAATGAGTTTATTTCTGCAGTTTAAAGCAGGTTAACTACTTAGCAGATTAATTGAGCAAATGGGCACACCTTGTCTGGGAATACCCACAAAAGATATTCTTCATATTGCACATTGATTAATATGTACTAAGAATATATTTTTTATTTTGCAGTGTTTTTAAGTTATTAATAATGCTTTCTTAAAATATATGTCATCTGCAGATTAATTGGGACATTTTAGGACCTAATTCAGAGGTAATTTTACCTCCTCTGAATAGTGACATCAGAGACCCAGTAAATGGATCATTTTATTTTGCGGAAGCAGAAGGTGGCTTGCGACATATTGACTTGAAAATTTATCCTCATGAAGAAGTTGAAGTTCAAGAGATCTTCATTATAAGGTTGCGTGTTATGAGGGGAGAAACAGAACTAGATCCCAAGGCTGCCAATATAACAGTAAAAGTAAATGATTTTCTTATTAATAATAGTAGTACTCTTTCAAGGCTTTACTGTTATTTCTTTTATTTATTATTTTTTTACAGCATCTTTTTATTAATGCTTCAACATATCATAAATGAGAGGGTTATATCTTTTGTCATATAAGAAAATATTTTGGAAAATTTTTAAGCTTTTTTAACACAGGGGTCCAAGAGACTTAAGGTCTTTGAACTTATAATAATGAGCAACATTATAGCATACCATTTAAAAAAAAAACAAGTACTTGAATGTTCTGTGTTCTGTATCATTAATTAGGAAACCTAAGGATAACCATTACTTTTTCTTAACCTAGATTTTAAAGTTTGGTGATCCTAATGGGATAGTGCAGTTTGTTCCTGAATCTTTATCTCCAAAGATTTTTGAGGAACCATCAGCATCTGAAGGTCCACTGAATATTGTGCTTTCCATAAAGAGAATTCAAGGCATTATGGGGAATATCACGGTATTTGACTTTGGTACTTAGTAGTTTGTCCAATATAAGTTAATTATGAATGTAGAATTAAATCAATGAGAGATAGAAATAGATAAATGGTTGGTAAATGATAGATAGATAGATAGATAGATAGATAGATAGATAGATAGATAGATAGACAGACAGACAGACAGACAGATAGACGGACAGATGAGTCAGTGTGGTGTAATGGTTAAAGTATTGGACTAGGAAAAGGGGCCAGTTACTTCCAATCCTAGACTTGGGATTTATCAACCCATTTGGACCAAATAGTTATACTAAAATACATTAATTTGGGATATTTTTATATAATAAGTAGATAAATAGGTGGTAGGAAGCAGAAAGATACAACTATATAGAGAGGGGGTATCTGTCCATCTATATTGCACATACAATATATGCAAGCATATGACATAGAGAAAATGTATATGGTCTGTGTTAGATTTCTGAGCTTCATGAATATTTTGTTTTTAAATATATTTTTTGTAGTAAAATGTTCTCAAAGGGATGTTTGCATGAACAACAAAATTTAAGAATTAATAATGATGTGGGGGTTTCAGAGGAACTGAAAGTATGCTTCTTTGCTCTGAGAATATTGTTTTCAAATTGTGAAGTTTGTAACATCTAAATTATACAAAATTTCATTTCATTGGGACTTGAATATATTGACCAAAGCTTCTTTGTTTCTTTTAATTTAATTGTTATAGATTTACTGGAAATTAAGTAGTAATTCTGATACTACAAATGATTTTATAACTATGAGAGGTTCTGTTGTGATTCCTGATCTACAAAGGACTTCGGACATTGTGATTTCCTTGTTGCCTGATGATGTTCCTGAAATAGATGAGCATTATGAAGTGCAGCTTACTTCAGTGGAAGGAGGAGCTGATTTGGATCTGAGAAAAAGCATTTCTAGATTCATGGTGGTTGCAAATGATGATCCATATGGAGTATTTGGCTTGTATGGAGAAAAACAGTCAGTACAAGTAGAGAAAGATCTCAGCCGGCATATCCAGATTAATATTTCTCGGCATGCAGGGACTTTTGCTGATGTAATTGTAGAGTACCAAATTTCATCTTTCAATGAAGAAAAAATAATCACACCAGCCAACAGAGTGGGAAATGTACACATTAAAGCAGGGTCCAGTTATGGATTGAAAACAGTGCCAATATACACCCAGGTCTGTTATTTCTTTACCCATTGAAATATCCTTTTCAATCATGATTGTAGTGTTTTGTAATCAAAACCAGTATTTTATGGGTTGCATTTCTATTAAGCCTTGGTTTTAATTTAGAAAATCAGAAGAATCCTATTTTTAAGGTACATGAAGAAAAATGGGGATGTGAGTGAATGTGCCTGCACATGCCAGGTTCCTGGGAAGCTGCTATTTGCTGTTGAAAGCTGTATCTCAAAACTATTATCCATAGTCCCTAACAGTTATGTATATCAAAGAATGTGGCTAGGTGCATTTCCTTAGTCTGTTTAGGTAATAAATCTTAAACAAAATCATAACAGATGACATTCTGCATATTTGAATGCTCACAATGATAACAAAAGCAAAAACTGTGGCTATATATTTCAAAATAATGTCTTATAATAATATAGTGCAATAAAATATGACATGTTACTTTCAGATTCTAAATAAATAATTTTGATAAAGTTACAGTTTGATAGCCTTAATTTGCTGGGTCATTTTCCACTAATGTTGCTTTCTATTAACTTTGGGGGGGAAACTTGTAGAACTACATGTCTAAATAAGTCTTGTTTGAATAAAGTATTTTAAAGTCTTATTTGAATGCTAATCTGTAAATGTAATTTTAATTGCTATGTTTTGTGATTATAATTTTCCAGGTATTTATTTCCCTTGGCATGAATTTGACCCTGGAACTGATCAATGTAACATTAGTTAATATTAGTGCCAATATTGCGCCTAAAATATTAGAGACAGCCAGGTTGGTCTCTTTTCCAATTCCCAAAGAAGCTGCCAATTCTCAGGTAACTAGATTTATAGTTTCTAACAACTTAACAACCAGTGGAACATATTTTAATTTATTAGACTTAATTGGCTGCCAGATGTTGAAAGCTCTGAATAAATTATTTGTACCATATTATAAAATCTTGATTTTTTTTTATTTTGGTTTTTATTTCTTACGATATATTTGGGGGCAAGCACATTCATGCTTTTTTTTTTTTCATCACCAAATTTCTCTCTTTGCAATTTGGCAGTGGTGGGAGGATACAAAATACAAATCTGGTCATTCCTAGTAAAGGTCATGTATTCTATTTCATTTCTGATTGTCATTTGTTTTATAGTTGATATATATTTGCTGGTGAATTCAAACATATATATTTAGTACATTTTAAATGAAACTTAAAATTTCAAAATATAGATTTATTGCACAAAAAATGCAATTGTTCTATTTCTGGAAATATTTCGATTACCAATAGCAGCAGTATTCCATATATAATTATTCAGTGCACATGCCTATAATTTTAGTTTGGTTAAGCTGTTGCCATAATTTATAACAAAAACAGTATTTTCTTTATAGGTTGCCTTTGATTCTATTATCTTGCGACTTATAAATATTACAGCAGGAACAACTGAAGCTCTTATAACTCGTAAAGGAATATATGGCTCCATTGTAGTAACTTGGAATTCTGGATATCCATCGGGGCTTATTCCGCTGTACCTTCACCAAGGCAGTATTATACCAGCCTCTGGTGAGTGCCATCATTTTGCTATCCTTGAGGACAGTAGGACAGTTCAAACACTTTGATAATAAAGAGAGAGTAATAAAGAGAGGGAGGGAGGGAGGGAGGGAGGAGGGAAGGAAGGAAGGGAGAGAGAATATATGCTCAAGATTCAAGGATTTTACCATGAATTATTTTGTACCTTCAATTGTTTTGTTTTAATAAAAAAAATGTAAAACAACAACCCTTGATTATTCCCTATCTGAATTTGGTTTATCACTCTCTTTTCTTAACCCCTTTTTTTCTTAGGAAAGTAGATAGTTAATTGTTATAACCAGAGCATACTTCACTGTACCTTATCATAACTTGATGTTGTGTAAAACTTTTGATTTCTGGGATGTATACGGTGTAACTCTTTTATCCTCTCTTTTAATTTGCTGCTCAACAATGAGCAAATCTGCATGATGAATCAGTATTAAAGGTCTTTTCCATCATTTCTTTTTGGTGCCTGTAGCACATTTATTAATATAGAAGGTAACAAAATACAAGGCCTGAAATAAAATGAATGTGTCAAAAGAAAGCAGAGATAGTACCAATAAGTAATAGGTGCCTTGGATGCAATCCCAAAACAACTAGAGCACCACTTGGAAATATTAGCATTGACAAATTCACCATCAGTCAGTTGCAAAAGGCAGCTTTACTCAAAGTAGCTTCCATACTGCAACAATACCTCCAATACCATCAAACATCAACATCCACCTATCCCAGGTGCTTGGAAAGAATAAAAATGCCAAATCCAGTCTGAAAATCTGACTGTGTGACGAACCATAATTTATTAAACTTGCATGTTGCCCGACTGGCAATGGCTCATGATTTAATACTATTGCTCTCCAACATTCCAGGAGCTTTCCATCCATCTCTTTTCCTTTTTCCTTCCAGGCACAGTTATTTTTTCCCATGGTGAACAAAACAAAACAATCTTATTCCAAGTTATTCCAAATGCAAATAGTCTTGAGGTGTTTGCTGTACATTTGGCTGCTGTGCAGACCAATGCATCTGGTGGGGCTTGTCTAAGGTAAGAAAGCTATTACTCAAATTGAATATTTGGTTAATCAGCCTAATACAACAAAGATTCCTCCTACTTTACCCATTAATTGATTGACATTTATTATTTCCTTCGGTCAGTTATTACATATCTGGAAATATTAATAATGATGGAACCAAAATACACAATGACAACTTATGAACTGATATCTTCATAAAGTTCTAAAACTGCTTCTTCAGTTTGAGCAAAGTCTCAGATGAACCCAATATACTAATGTTCTTAAATGGATCTGTCTATTGAAGATGAGTTAAAGCTGTTTGCCTTTATCTTTCCACATTCAAATGTCATATATATTTTTTTATTTCAGATCAGATTTCATTATTGCTGAGATTGAACCAATGGGAGTCTTTCAGTTTGCTCCTAGCTCAAGAAACATTTTAGTGAGTGAAGATGTGCAAACAGTCAGATTAAATGTACAAAGACTTTTTGGTTATCAAAGCAACTTTACAAAGGTGTTCTATCAGACCACTGCAGGAAGTGCCAAATCACTAGAAGACTTTGAACCTGCTCATGATGGAGAACTTGTTTTTGGATTCCTTGACATTAACACAGTGTTGGAAATCTTGGTAACTGATGACAGCATTTCAGAAGGGGAAGAAATTTTTTTTGTGAATTTAACAGCTGTGAATGTTTTAGATGTTCAGGACCTTAATCCAGATAGGAATCCACGTCTGAATCCAGAATTTAGCATTGCATCAGTTACCCTACTGGCCAGTGATATCCATTATGGAATTTTAAGTCTTGCACCAACTATTATTTACACTGAAGAAGACAGTAATAACATTGCTTCCAACACTATTCTGATTCATATCAGAAGAACTCAGGGATTTGTGGGAAATATCTCTGTAAATATAAAAACTTTGGGTGCAATAAATGCCCAAAGTGGGGCAGAAACATTTCCTTTTGAAATTGGCCCTGTGGTTTCTAATCTTACCTGGGCGATCGAAGGGACGGACTTTGAAGAAATGGCTCTATCTGTCACATTATTGGATGGTGAACGAGAAAGTGAAGTATCTGTCACAATTCTTGATGATGACGAACCTGAAGGGGAAGAATTTTTTTATGTTGTTCTTTCTGAACCTCAAGATGGAGCCCAGATTACAGAAAGTATAGATGAATATGGGTTTAAAGGTTTTACCACAATAATTATCAAAGGTAGGCATATTTATGTTGTTTTAGTATATAGGCAAAATACTGACAGTAAAGAGAGTTTCCTTATAAAATAAAATAATAACTCTTAAATAAAAAAAGTGTTTATTCTAGAGCTTGTAATATAAATCATATACATTCTCTCAGTTATCTGGACCATCATTTTTTAAGTAATTGTGACTTAAGAGGAAGAGAATTCCTGATAAATTTCCTGTCTTTGACAATATAGATTGAAATGGAAACAGTGGCATTAGCATGTTTTCTTGATGGATGTAATTATAATAATTGAAGGAAAAGGATTATGATGATAACAATGTAGAATTTATATAAATGGTCTGTTGAAAAGATCAAATTTATCTGATCAGTTTCATGTACTGGATAATATAAATTAGGCTTTTCAAACCAGAAAGTAAGGGCAAATAAAGATGAGTTCAGTAAAGAACATGGATCTGAAGTTGATAACTAAGCATTTCCTTTGGTTTAAAATTCAGATTAAATGATAAAAGTAAAATTAACAATCTAGTTATCTCATCGCATCTTCTTGGCTAATGTTTACCTATATTTGATCAATGTATTGTTGGACTGGTACAGGGGTGGGCTGCTGTAGGTTCGCACGGGTTTAGGTGATCTTCTAGCTAAGATTCTGTGCAGTTCGGGGGAGCCCGCAAATCCCACCCCTGGATGGCCCCACCCACCCCTCCCCTCCCAGGAGTCCCCACGTGGCCCATTTTGGATCCCAGGTAAGTACATAGCCCACGTGGAGGCCAGGGAGGCTGTTTTTCCACTCCTGGAGGCTTGAAGAAAGCCTCTGGGGACGGTGAAAATGCTCCCCCCCACCGTGGTGTAGGAAGCCGATGAGGCCACACCCACCATGGCCATGCCCACCCAGAAACCAGAAAGAGAAATGGTTGATGAAGCCCACCCCTGGACTGGTAAGAACAGGATGCTCTTTCTAGATATCAGTTAGTTTTGTTTAATAGACAGGTGTAATTTCCAAGAATTAACTAGCATTTTAAGATCAAGAATGCAGGCTTTCTATCAAAAATCATATTTTTTAAAGTAAGAAATTAAGCAGAGACTTAGATAAATCTTTATGAATCAGTTACTGTCAGCAGCATCTGTAGGTTCTCATATATATGTCAAAATAATGAAAGAAGCATCACAGTGCAAGCTCCACATCTTTGTGGCATATGTGGGATTCATAACATGAGTGGAAAAGTGGCAGGACTTGAATTGTTATTCCTCAATGCTACTTGCACCATTCTGATCATCCCTCCTTACCCAGGAAAATATTCTGATGGTAACTACCCTGTTTCTCCAACAATATGGCCTCCCCCAATAGGAAGTCCCAGCATGTTTTATAGGCATGAAATGAAATTAAGCTCCTCCCCCCCAAATTAAGGCCTATATTAAAACATGCGAAACGGGGGGGAATGGTGGGGTGGCTTGCCGTTAGGAAGTACTTTTGTTGCACACCCGGATATGGTGCTGCCTGCGTTGACCCCGATACAAAGTGCCCCACCAATGCTGAAGTCAACATCCAAGCCGTTGCCGCCCGCCCAAAGATGCAAGGGGGGGGGAATTAAGTCACCCCCGAAAAGATGGCCTAGCCATTTTTTCGGGGCTCAAAAAAAATTAAGACCCAGCCTTATTATATGAGAAACACGGTATTTTTGTTATCATCATAACAACCTAAGCCAATAATTTGTGAGCCATATAGTTCTTGTTAAAATAGCAAAGTAGACAATAGAAGAGCATTCCAATTTGTTGCTAGAAAAATAACATGTGTCCGAGCAAGAGTCAGGCACAACTTAAGGAAGACTTAACCTTTCTTAGTGATATCTTTCCAAAAATTGGTAAAGAAGCCCTGTCATTTTCCCTAGTGCCTTATCATATGAATATTCTATGTCATGAAGATACCCAATTGCTTTAAAATGTAGTGATTCAATAAACAAATGCCATTATATATGTGTTGTGATTATCGTATCAACAATATTCCAACCTATTGTATCTTAAAACTCACAAGTATTCTTAAATGTTTTAATTATGGCAGTATTAAATACCCCATTATTTTATATAAAATACAGTTGTTCCACTTATATTGTAATAGCTCCTCATTCCATGTGTATCTTATATCTTAATTATCTCATTTTGAGAAAATATTTTTAATGAATTCTACAATGTAATAATTTATTTGCTTCTTGATATTTTGGAATGATCTATTTCCCATTTAGGAAATGATCTTCAGAATGGAATTCTAGGATTCAGTGAAGAAACTCAACATGGTCTTATGCTTGATGAAGATTCAGAAAAGAGGAAGCTAGAACTTTTTGTCACCCGACAGCCAAACAGGTACAAGCAACAGATGATAAAAAGTGTTACCTTCATTTATTGTAATGCATTGTGTCAAGTCAAGGATTATAATTGTAAGCAGGATACATTGTGACAGGATCTTAATATGAAGCCTTTTAGAAGTTCCAGTAAATTACTGCAAACTGAGATAATTGTCTCATAAATTTAGAATATGTCAATCAGTATACCAAAACTGAACAAAAATGAGAAAAATAAATCTACTCTAATTCATACACATAATAGTCAACATGTGAATTAGCTGATCTGCAATGTGCACATATTTAATCTTTGGCCCTTTCTTCAGGAAAGTATAATTTGGCCAAAAGTGTAGATTCAGATGGCACTTGATCCATCTCATTAATAACTTTCTGTTTCATATTTTAAGTGCTGGTCATATAATATAATGATATAGTAGTCTTTGATTTTACCAATACAATATAATACAATTGGTAAAATCAAAGACATCCCACTACATTCATATGTGAAAAATTCATTCATATTATGAAAAATTTGATTTGAACAGCATTTTCTAAACAAGATTTGAGATTGAGATCCTTATATTAAAAAAATGGACTGTCGCTTTTAAAGTTATTGGTTCTATCTACCATAACATTTTATGTGTGAGCTATGTGTGTGTTCACTCACCCTTTCTAGCCAATGCTATGCTTCTCATGCACTTGCAAGCATCATCTCATCCCCTTGCAGTCTCCACCTATCAGTATCCAATTTACCTGCTTGCTGGCCTGGGATTTACAGCTTCCTGCTGGCTTCCCGATTAACAGGTTGTGGAAGTTGCAAGAAGTTGCTTTGCCTAATGACTATGAGATGCCGTTAATGATAGCAAGCTGGATTGTAGGGATTGCCATTGTTAAATGATGTGGTTGCACTTTATGACTTAGCAATGGAAATAATAGGATAAACTTTGTTTATTTTTTAAAAATACACAATTGTGCTGTGATAAGCAAAAGAACAAAACAGATGTGAGGGTAAAGACTTTTCCAATAGCTGCCTGCATCAATGCAGTTATTTTGGTTTGTTTTGTTAATAGGGTTTTTGAAGATGTGAAAGTATCTTGGCGTGTGACTTTTAATCAAACCTCAGTTGTCCTGCAGAGTAATGGCACCAATCTGGCAAATGAACTGATAGCTGTCACAGGGGTTACCACTTGTAAGGCTGGCCAAATACAATGCATGGTTTCTATTGAAATCCAGCCTGATAATGTGAGTATTTATAATGAATTAGTCACCTCTCCTAACTACTCTCCCATAACATATACTAGAATGTGGTCAAATGATGAGAAGCTGGAGAATATTCCATTTGCATTATCATAGTTCTGGGCTATTGGATATTCTCTTTTGTGATTTATGTGAGATTACAGCAGTGGGAATCTGTCCACTAATGAGGTTCTGTGTAGAAAATTGGAAAATTGTAGGATTTTAGACATTGCACTGATACTTGTTTCTTTTTAAGTAGCATTTATATTCCAAAGTTCAGTAATCTTTAGAGCTAACTGTAGACTGCATGTGAAGGATTTCCATTAGATTTTTTTTAAAAAAATAAATAAATTCACAAATCCTGAAGAGAATTTTTCTATGTATTTAGAAAAAAAAGGAGAGTTATCAATTGTCCTTGAAACAAGATTGAAAAAACATAAAATTAATACAACTTTTTCCACTGAAGAGCTCATTTATACATGTGTACTTTCCCAGAATGATTTTAATGATTCACAAACAAATTACATGAATGACAGCAGGATTTCTGTCCAGATTCCAAGTAACTCTTGTTTTTATAAGGCCAAACATATAGTCCTATGATCTGGAAAGCTCACTGCACAAAATATAGCAAAATTACACTAGGGATAAAAAAATTGTAAATATTAAATATGCCCTTTGATTGGAAAATGTGCAGTCATTTGATTGTTCATTTTGATTATCAGGTTGCTGAATCTGAGATATATTTTTTCGTGGAACTCTATGATGTGGGGAAAGGAGCAGCTTTAAACGAGAGTGCCAGATTTGCACACATTACAGTTCCAGAGAGTGATTCTGTGCAGAAGGATCTCATCTACTTTGCTGTGGGGTCTCGTCTGGCTGTGGCCCATATGAAAACCACTTCAATTAGACTCCAAGTGATGAGAGATTCTGACACAGCATTTGCTATCTCAGTCAACTACACAACTCAGGTAAGCTGGACTCGAGTATATCTTGCAGTATATCTGGATGTCATCTGATATCATCAGATGTCAACTGATAAAATGAGCTGCTGCAGCTCACAATAACTAAAGCCTTTTAATAAAATTAAATTACTAGACTTCTGATTTTTCACATATATTTGGTGATGCCCTTATTTCTTCTCTAAAAAACTCTCATAAAAAGTATTTTCGTATTTATTCTTTGTTGAATAGTTGGAAGCTAAAATAGTGGTTTGTAATAGCCTGATAACTTTTTCTCTCTAGTTTACCTCTTTTATTCAAAGGGAAAAATAGTGCCCATTTGAAATTCCATAAATTACATTGGAAAACAATAAGCTGTAGATTTCATCTAACAATGGCAGTCCTTTGAAAACTTGGAACACATATAGTTGATTTGGATTTAGGAGAAGTGGTTTCAAACTCTTCCAGCAAAGTTACTAATTTAAATGGCTATGAAATAGTCATTTGATGGCTGAGGATGTTCTATGAAGGAACAACAAAAATTGAAACAACAAAAATTCATTCACATTGGGGTGAATGAAATAACTGCAAGATTATTTTGTTCATAATAAGTGAAAGATTATTCTTCTGAGTTACACTGTGGACATTTGTCACTGTGGGTCAACTCCCTCTTTCTGAATTGGGTTATTTAGATTGCAAAAACCATATAATGGTTTTGTGCAGCCATTTATGATAGCAAATTCATTTTGGATTTCTATGATGGATTCTCCAGGTGACAATGTAGAACAGAATTAGAGTTTGTTAGAAACCTATAGTTTTCCTTTCTTATTTTAACTGAAGTTACTCTATCATTGACCATTGAACTCATCCTTGGTCCTTTGTGAATTAACTGCTTTTTACTTTTGCCAGTTCCACCACCCAGATAGAAGAGATGGTGTCTAATTTAAAATAACCAGGAGAAAAAATATTTTTTTTCTGCCAAGGACGAGGTTAGAACAGAATAGAATTTTTTATTAGCCAAGTGTGATTGAACAACAAGGAATTTGTCTTGGTGCAAATGCTCTCAGTGTACATTCATCAAGAGTCAAGAATCATAAGGTACAACACTTACTAATAGTCATAGGGTACAATAAGCAATCAAATCATACTAGGAAACAGTCAATATAAATCGTAAGGATGCAAGCGACAAAGTTACAGTCATACAGTCACAAGTGGGAGGGGATGGGTGATAAGGAGTGATGAGAAGATTAATAGTAATAGTAACTCAGACTTTGTAAATAGTTGGACAGTGTTGAGGAAATTGTTTGTTTAGCAGAGTGATGGCGTTCGGGGAAAAATTGCCTTGTGTCTAGTTGTTCTGATGTGCAGTGCTCTATAGCATTGTTTTGAGGGTAGGAGTTGAAACAGTTTATGTCTGTAAATATTTTCACAGCCCTCTTTTTGACTCATGCAGTATACAGGTCCTCAATAGAAGGCAGATTGATAGTAATTGCTTTACTACCAACAGTGGTGTTGTTTAACTGAAACCTGGGATATGGATTAAAGACTGACAAGCTAGTACAGTTTTTAGTGGTTTATTTTTTTATACACTAATATTTCTAAGAATTATTGTAGTACTGAGAAAGAATTAAATCTGGATTCAAATAAAATATGAAAATGTGATAATACCCAAACTTGCAAACAATAGAATGGACAGAAATATTATGTTACATAGACATTTTGGGGAATTCATTTCTTTTAAGCATTCCTGTGTTATTCTAAATCTTTTTATACTTATAAAATCAAGGATAATTAGTAGATAATCAGTTGAATCAGTTGAATCGGTAAGGTACCCATTCAGCAAGATATCTCCCCTACATCTTTCTATGTGTTGCACTAGTATTTTGGTATGTTATCTTGCATCATTATCCTTGTGAGGCCTTTTCATTTTGCTATCAAGATTGGTTCTCTAAGTGTTAGATTTTCTCCTTCAGTCTGATCTTAACTCTGAGATCTTTGTGGGTGTTAGATAACATTAGTTATTAACCTGTGGTGTTTTCTTCAATCTTATCTGTATTTCATATAGCCATCAATAGAGCCAGAGTGGACACTTGACATAATGGTCCGGCCGTATACTTTCAATGCTCTTGTGTTTCTTTTGTCAAGAATTGAAAGAGTTGCCATTTTAATAAATTGCAGAAATAAATTTTATTAACGCTCCCACATTTACTTCTTCACAAGCAAATGCAAAACACTGCATAACCCTAGGGGCAATTCTATGGCAAGCGTGCTCTTTCTGTATTCCTCTTTGGAGATATATTGTCACCAGGATTAATTCTGGAGCTTTTTTGGCTGAACATTAGTAATTAAACATAGCTATCTACATCTAGATAGATAAAGTATTCAAGATTTTTATTAGAGTTAATAAATTACTCTACATATACTAAATACAGGCTTTTGCCACAGAAAACCATCTTCCATGGTTTCCCACAGGGGAAATAACTGAACAAAAAGATAAATACTGTGTCTTGGAATCTTTGCAAGTTGAACTTATTAAGGCTTTAGACCAGGGGTGTCAAACTTGCAATGACACGTCATCACGTCACGTATCACAATGTTTTTTTCCCTTCACTTAATTGGGGGTGGGCGTGGCCAGCATGTGATGCATCCGGGCCATGAGTTTGATACCCCTGCTTTAGACCATATATATATATATATATTTTCTGAGGTTCTCGCGGGTATTTGTATGTGGATCTTTGGTTATTCGGGTTTTCTCCCGCGTAAGATTGGAAGTATCTAGGCAACGTTTCGATGAAGTCTCATTCATCATCTTCAGGCTTCTGTCTTCAGCTCTGTGCTTCTCACTCAACAGAAGCCTGATGATGGCAGATGAGATTCTGCCGAAACGTTGCTACAACTTTAAAAGCACAACTACAATGACGTGGGAAAATACCCGAACAAAGCTGAATGCCATACATACATACATACATACATACATACATACATACATACATACACACACACACACACACACACACACA